GGGTCTCGAACCCGCGGGCTCAGGCAGTCCACTCACCTCGGCCTCCCAAAGCGCGGGATTACAGGCTGAGCCACCGAGCCCGGCCGACACTGCTTCTCTTAACCTGCCTCGCATTTTTTCTGAATCTGCAAGTAATACCTGGGTGTTGTACGGTACTTTTTCATATCTTACGCTTTATGAAATGTTTTCACACTCGTTCATTTGGAGCCTCACAATAACCTTACAAAATCGGTCTTATTTCTGATCTAAGCCCAGCAACTGTCCTGCCCTCCTCTGTACTCTAGACTGTGTTCTCTTACACCTACTAGGAGTTTTACTTATTTACTAATTTTAGTTGGCGTCTTGGTCGCCCAGGCTGGAATGCAGTGGCGCAATCATGGCTCACCGCAGCCCCATACTCCAATTACCCTTTGATTTATCCCCCTTTCACCTTTTCTTTTTTTTTTTTGATAGAGATGAAGTCTGATTATATTGCCAAGGTTCGTCTCCAACTCCTGGCCTGGGCTCAAGCGATCTTCCCGCCTTGGCCTCCCAACGTGCTGGCCACTGCCTGGCTCCTCTCTTGGACCTTTCAGCTCTCTTTCACTTTAATTTCTCCCTCACCACTGGATCATTCGTCTTAATATGCTTTAAGATCCCATATTTAAAAAACAAATTCCTGCCCTCCAGCTCCCATCCCGTTTTTCTGCTCTCTTACAGCACACCAAAGAAATGCTACTGTACTCACCGTCTAATTTTCCTTCTTCCTCAACCCACCCCAGACTTCCCTTCCTATACGTGGCTGCAATGCTTGTCAAGGTCACTAGTGACTAGCTAAATCTATGTTTGTTTTTTACTTAACCTTCCTGCAACATTTGAAGCAACTGAACATATTTCTTGAAATATATGAACTTCCTTGTTACTTAGTGATGTGAGAGACTTATTTCTGAATCAGATAATTTTGAATACTGGAAGATATTTCCTCAGTATTTTGTGCTATTCATAAATATATAGCGATGTCATGTAAGACACACTTGAGCTTAATCTGCATTACTAAGATTTTACCATCCATTTCTTAAATCTAGACAACCAAGTGTGAATGTAGCATTTGGTGATTTCTGTGATGTAAATACCATGGCAAGTTTCAGACTATCAACATGGCCTCAGGAATTGGGAAGAGATGGGCAGTTATGCACCCTTATGTAGTATTTCCACCATGCAAATACAACAGATTAGTGGCTCCCAACAGTGGCAATGTCTGCAGACATTTTTGGTTGTCACAATTATTGGTATCTGGTAGATAAAGGAGCAGGATTCCCTAAACACCCTACCACACACAGGATGATCCCTACCACAAAAAGGTATCCAGTCTAGGATATCTGTAGTGCCACTGTTTTAAAAAACCCTGCAATCAGCCAGGTTCGGTGGCTCAGTCTAATCCCAGCTCTTTGGGAGGCCCAGGCAAGTGAATTACCTGAGCCCGCGGGTTCGAGTCCCACCCAGGGAACTTGGTGAGGCCTTGTCTCTACAATAAATAAAAGATTAACTGGGCGTGGTAGCACACGCCTGTAGTTCCAGCTACTTGGAAGGCTGAGGCGGAAGGATCACCGGAGCCCAGCAGGCTGAGGCTTTGGTGGCCAGGAGCGTGCCACTGCACTCCAGTCTAGGTGACGGAGTGAGATACCAACTCAGAAAAAAAAAAAAAGCAACCCTGCAATCAGCATAAAGAACCTCAAGAAAATAAATAATAGTAAACTGTAGTAAAGGTGTAAGTGATGAGTTCTGAGTACTGACTATCTTTGTTTAATTTAATTTTTTTTTTTTTTTTTGAGTCTCACTCTGTCACCCAGGCTCATGGGCACTGCAGCCTCGACCTGCTGGGTTCAGGCAATCCTTCCGCCTCAGCCTTCCAAGTAGCTGGAACTACAGGTGTACGCCACCATGCCCAGCTGATTTTTTAAATGTATTGTAGAGACGAGGTCTCGCCAAGTTGCCCAGGCTGGTCTTGAACCTGTGGGCTCAGGCAATCCTCTTACCTCCCAAAGTGCTAGGATTACAGGCATAAGCCACTGCGCTTGGCCTTAAATAACTTTTAATAATGACTGTGTTTAAAAACAAACTCACAATACTTCTTAAAATTTGAAATTTGACTTCACTGAGCCAGTACAAGTCCCTCTAATAGACCACCGGGACTCCACCACTGATTCCCATGTAGTTATGCAACAGTTTGGCTCCTGCCTGCCCCAACCCCATCTCTCACTCTCTTGCCTCTTTTTTCTAAACTCCAGGGACACTTCTATAAACATATGCTGCATATGTTTAATTTTACATAGTACATCCATGTTGAGTCATGTATTAAATTATATTCCCCATGCCTATCAGCACGTACAAGAAATTACTAATAACCTCTTGAACAAGCAGAACCCAACTCAACCGAGAGTTATATAGACCAGGGTTAATTGACTCAGTGATATTAATCCATAATGTTACATAGGACATTATTTATCGTACATAGACATTTCAGTCAGGTCATTTCTCGACAACATGCTCATCACCTCCGTTATACTTGCTTCATCACCAAGCTTTGAGAAATCAGCAACCCTCTCAGGTTATGGCCCTCTGCTCACTCCGGGCCCATACTACTTGGGGGTGACTAGCCAGAAACTATACCTGGCATCTAGTTCTTACCTTAGGGTCATCAACCTAAGACTGCCCACTCGTTTCCCTTAAATAAGACATCCCGATGGTTCCAGGACAAACGCCCTCGTGATCACTCATGGGAGAATTCAATGCATTTAGTATCTTTTAATTTTTAAGGGGGGGAGTGCTTTGACTCAGCATGGAAGTGGTCAATTCCACTGTAGCTGGACTTTGAGTATTACGCAGCCTCATAACAACCATAAGGTGGTATTTCATAAATAAGTAAACATATATAGAAAAATAATTGAACATATATAGTTCTTCCTTTCAGTCCCTTGAACGCACCAACCTCCTTAAGGCATTTTTATCTGCTGTTGCCTGTGCTAAAAACATTCTTCCATTAGATTTTCTCGTGGTTGCCTACAAGATTTCGACTCTCAATTTATTTGTCTCACCTGGTAACAAACAATTCAGGGACTACCATGGGTCTGTGAACCACACTCAGCATAGCACCACTTTTAGAGATTTATCTGCAGGGAACCCACCCTCCCCCCTCACACCCCACAGCACTCCCTCCCTATCTCTCTTCACTTTTCTGGTCAAGTCTGCAGTGTGTCATCGTCCTGCTCATGACAAACTAATTAAAAATCTATTTTATTACTCAAATAATATGTTCATTATGGAAGTAAGCCAAAAAAAAAAAAAACCTTTAAATTTCTCAATTTTATCACCACTTAATATTTATATGCATGCATACATATATTTGTGTATATATATATATGTGTGTGTTTATATATTTTTTATGGGAAAGAAAAGAACTAACACAAATAGCTTATTACAGATTGTTTAATACAATGCTTGAAAAATTTGGACATTAAGATGTGAGCCATTGCCAATATGTACATTTACAGCATCACTTTAAAAAAATTTTTTTTTTTTCCTGCTGAGCAGTCCAGGGGGAAGCATCACTTTTAATATTCTCATGGCCCTGAATTATATCCTACATCTTAAAAATAAAAATAAAATAAAATAACCCCCCCAAAATATTCACACAGTATGAATGCATCATAATTTATTTCACCCATCTCCCATTCAATTAGCCAGCCAATATGTTTTTTGCTCACCTACTGTTTGCAAGAAACGGAGGACATAACAATAAAGAGGAAAGAGTCTGCTCTGAGGGAACTCACATTGTAGGGGACAAGATAGATGGTAAACATGTTCTACAAATACACAAATAAGGATATTGATTATTTCAACAGGCAATATTAATAACTTACTTTTTTTGGAAGCCTCTAAACGCACTTTAGCCTATGTCACTGGAGAAGTAGGAAGCAGATATATGCAGAAAGCCTGGGTATTAATAACAATTATGAATTAGAATTAGTAATTTCGTTTTGCGTCTTAAAAGTCAGGCTTCATCTCTTTTTGATGTTTTAATGCATGATGTAGTAAGTAATCAATGTAGTTATGAGTTACAAAGAAAGCCGGGCTCGGTGGCTCAGCCTGTAATCCTGTGCCTTGGGAGGCCAAGGTGAGTGAATTGCCTGAGCCCACGAGTTTGAGACCCGCCTGGGCAACTTGGCGAGACATCTCTACAATAAATCAAAAACTAGCCGGGCGTGGTAGCACGCGCCTAGCACTACATGGTAGTTCCAGCTACTCGGAAGGCTGAGGCAGAAGGATCACCGGAGCCCAGCAGTCAAGCTGCGGTGGCTAGGAGTGGCCACTGCACTCCAGTCTGGGCGTGGGAATGAGACTCCAACTAAAAAAAAAAAAAAAAAAGAGTTACAAAGAAAGAAACAGTTGAAACATCTCCAACTCTAGGTTAGGGACCTGGGAAATTTTGCAGATGCAACTCTGTCTCTGTGCATGTTGGTTAAGGAAGGTTTATTTGAAGTCATATTGCAGTGTATATAAAAATCATGGACTTTCAAGGAGACAGACTTAGGTTCAATTCTGGCTAAGTTACTCCCTATTTGACCTTAGCCTTGAAGCTCAGTCTTCTTGTCTCTAACACAAGCATTTTAGTAAAATCTGCCATGAGGGTTGTTGTTGGAATTTTAAAAAATATTGGAACATATTAGGTAATCAATAATAGGTGACTATTTTATTTTATTTTTAATTTTTTTAGAGACAAGGCCTCTCTTTGTCACCCAAGTTGGAGTGCAAGTGTGCAGTCATAGCTCACTTGCAGCCTTGAATTCCTGGGTTCAAGTGATTTTCCCCATCTTCCAAGTAGTCACCATGCTCAGCTGTTTTTATTATTTTGATACCAAATCTTATTTTCATTGTTTCATTTATACAACTCTATTTCATTGAGTTCTAGTGATAGTTTTGTAATGGAGTATATAAAATAATTTTAAATGTACTCTTTTTACTGATTTTCTTATAGGAATTTCAAATGTCTTTGATACAGGAACCAGAATTTTCAAAGCAGGATAAAGCTGCCAGAGTCATTCAGCAGGCCTGGAAATGTTTCCTTGTGAGTTTATTTAGCCATTTTATTGAGATATAACTTATATATCTTAAAGTTCACCTGTTTAAAGTATACAATTCTCAGCCATAAAAAAGGATGAAATGTCTTTGGCAGCAACTTGGATAGAAGTAGAGAACATCATCCTAAGTGAACTAACAGGAACAGAAAACCAAACACTGCATGTTCTCCCTTATAAATAGGAGCTTAACTAGAGATCTGTAAAGGCATAGAGAATGACATAATGGACATTGAAGACTCAGAACTGGCGGCAGGGAAATGGGCGAAGGGATGAAAAATGACCTGTCGGATACCGTGTGCATGGGTGGGTGTGGTGGGTGCCTTTAAAGCCCAGACTTCTTCGCCACTATACAGTGCATTCATGTAACCAGAAACTGTTTGCGCCCCCTAAAGCTATTGAAGTAAAAAGAAAACAGGCAAAAACCAAACAAAAACATAAAGTGTACAATTGAATAGTTTTTAGTATATTTACAGAATGTGTTCCACCCTTCACTTTAAAAGTAGACTTTTTAAAGTTTCAATAGGTTACAATTAATTGTTTCCTTAGCTTCACGAATATTTATTGAGTTCTTCATCTGGGCCAGGCACTTTGATAATGGCTACTGTCAATGAAGGTATTACTAATAAGCTTATTTAACTTGACCTATAAACTTTACTTTTTGGCCCAGGAATCAAGTGTATGATCAGGTGTTAGGCATATATTTACTCACTGAATACTTATTGAGTACCTACTCTTGAAGAGCTTAAAGTTTATTAATACACAATATCCCAGTTAATGAGGTAGTTGCTTATTGTGCTCTTATATGGGTAGAGCTGGTTTTATAGGTGTCAGGAATATTCCAAGTTGACTTACCTAGTTGGGTGAGAGCCAAGAGCTGGAATGACTTCCTTATTCCTCTTTGGTAGTAGCAGTACTCTGTCTGGGCCTGGTAGTTTTGTGTGAAATGATAAATATGGTATTTGTATCAGTTTATCAAATCTTGCAAAACAGCTTCCATTATGTGCCTCTTTTGCCTCTTCCAAAGCTAAAAACCTGTGCCGGGGCATAACTATATTAATTTCCAACACTAAATAATAATTTTCTTTTTTCTTCTTCTTCTTCCTCCCCTTCTTCCTCCTCCTCTTCCTCTTCTTTTTCCTCTTCTTCCTTGTCCTCTTCTTTCTCTTTTTCTTCCTCTTCTTTTTTTTCTTTTTCTTCCTCTTTTTCCTCTCCTCCTCCTCCTCCTTTTCTTCCTCCTTTTCCTCCTCCTCCTTCTCCTCTTCCTCCTCCTTCATCCTCTTCATCCTATTCCTCCTCTTTGAGACAGGGATCTCACTCTGTTGCCTATGCTGGTCTCGAATTCCTGGGCTCAAACCATCCTCCCACTCAGCCTCCCAAGTAGCTGCCACTGCATCTGGCTAATTTTTCAAAATTTTCTCTAATTTTTTTCTATCAACATACTCATCATCCAGGCTTATGCTATCATTTGCAATTTCTTTTCTCCCACGTTCAACTAGCCATACATCTTTGACTACCTATTACATTCCTGGCACTGTGCTAGGCATGTTACAATACATCCTTGCTCTTAAGGATCTTTAGTGCTGGGTGCAGTGGCTCACCTGCAATCCCAGCACTTTGGGAGGTCCAGATGGGAGAATTGCTTAAGCGCAGGAGTTCAAGACCAGCCTGGGCCACATAGCAAGACCTCATCTCTACAAAAAATTAAAAAATTAGCCAGATATGGTGATGCAGGCCTGTAGTCCCAACGACATAGGAGGCTGAAGCAAGAGGATTGCCTGAACCAAGGAGATCGAGGCTACAGTGAGCCATAATTGTGCCACTGCACTCCAGCCTGGGTAGCAGAGTGAGACTCCAGCTGAAAAAAAACAAAAACAAAAACAATCAAGGAGTTTCAGCAGAGAAGCCATGCATATAAACAAACAAGTATGCAGTTAGTTAGGTCAAGTTAGTTTACTACATTGTTGAAATCTTGGTAGCCTTATTGATTTTCCCCCCACTTGTTCTTTCAGTTCTTGAGAGAAGTGGGTTAAAGTTTTCTGTTATATTTAGAGATTCATTTATATCTTCTGGTAGTTCTGTCAAGGTTAGCTTTATATATGTTGAAGTAGTATTGTTAGGTATATACCAGCTAAGGATTGTTATATCTGCTTGTTGAGTTGACCCTTATCAATATGAAATGTTGTTTCATTTTTTAAATTGACAGATAAAAATGATATATATTGGGTTGATGCATAAGCATAAGCATGCATAGTAGTGTTTTTCACTTGCCCATGGAATGTAAATGTCGCATGATGGTTGACATTTGCCAGTTCTCATATTGACTGATGTGGATCATCGTGGATTAAAGCGTTTAAATGGTCTTCATCAAAGCTCAATGGTCTTCATGAAGGGAGAGAATCACTGAGGTCAAAGTGGCCCTCTTTGAAAAACAACACCGTTTCCTTGACGTGCTTTCCCCGATGGTGTTCTCCCACACACGACACAAATGTGCCAAGCTGCCTCTGCTGCCTTGACTCCTCTGTTAAACTTAAACAGAAGAATATATTGGAAGTGTTAATTTTTTTTTCTACTTGACACTCACTCCGTCTTCTTTAGCCCACAGATAGCACCAGCTTTCTTCAAATCTGCAAAATGCAAGGCTTATTCACAAGCACAACATTGTCACTCCAAATGACAAATTACAAACGACAAACTCCCAGCACCACAGTGTTGCCTTGCCAAAAACAAAAGCTATGAACTTATGCATCAGCCTAATGTTTATGGTGTACAAAATGATATTTTGAAATAAGTATACATTATGGAATGGCTACATTGAGCTAATTAAAATATGTATTATCTCACATTTTTTTTGTGGTGAGAACACTTAAAATCTACTCTCTCAATGATTTTCAAGTATATATACATAGTTATTAACTGCAGTCACCATGATGCTTAATAGCTCTCTTGAATTTATCCTTCCCCTTCTCCCCTAGAATCATTATTCTCTTTGCTTCTGTGAATTCAGCTTTTCAAATCTCACATATAAATGAGACCATGTGGTATTTGCCTTTCTGTGTCTGGCTTATTTCATGTAACATAATGTCCTCTTCTATAATACTCATCTATATTATCATAATGACAGGGTTTCTTTCTTTTTTAAAGTTGACGGTATTCCATTTATATATATATATACACATTTTTAAAAATCCACACAACCATTGATTGACACCTAGGTTAATTTTCAATGTTGGCTATTATGTATAATGCCACAATGAACATGGAAATTTAGGTATTTCTTTGACATACTGATTTCATTTCCTTTGGATATATATCCAGTAGTGGAGTAGCTGAATCATATGGTAGTACATTTTTAATTTTTGAGGACTCTCCATACTATTTTTCATAATGGCTGTACTAATTTATACTATTACCTACAGTGTCCATGTTTTCTCTGCATTCTTGCTAGCACTTGTTATCTTTTGTCTTTTTGATAATAGTCATTCTAACAGGTGTTAGGTGATACCTCATTGTGATTTTAATTTACATTTCCCTGATTAGTGATGTTGAGCACTTTTTCATATACCTGTTGGTCATTTGTGTACCTTTTTTTTGAGAAATGTCTATTTAAATCCTTTGCCTATTTTGAAATGGAGTTATTTGGTTTCTATTTAATTTTTTGAGTTCCTTATATATTTTGGATATTAACTCCTTTCTGATGTATGGTTTGTAAATATTTTCTCCTACTCTATAGGCTGTCTCTTAGTTCTGTTGATTATTTCCTTGTCTGTGCAGGCACTTTGAATATGGTCCCATCTGTCTATTTTTGATTTTCTTTCTTGTGTTTTGAAGTCATGTCCAAAAAATTATTTCCCAGACCAATGTCATGGAGATTTCCACCCTACATTGTCTTCTAGTAGTTTTAAAGTTTCAAATCTTCCATTTTGAGTTGATTTTTGTATATAGTGTGAGATAAGCATCTGATTTCATTCTTCTGCTTATAGATATCCAGTTTTCCCAGCACCATTTTCTAAAGACACTGTCCTTTCTCCGTTGTGTGCTTTTGGCATCTTTGTAAAAAAAGAAAAAAATCAGTTCCTTGTGTGGGTTTATTTTTAGGCTCTCTATTCAGTTCTGTTGGCTTGTTTATATGTCTGTTTAGAGACAGTTTAATTTCTTCCTTTCTAACTAATTGTGGGGTTGTAGATAGTATTTTTAGCTTTGTTTTTCTAGTAGCCACTTCATAGTCTCTCTCTCTTTGTTTTACCAGCAGACACCTCAACTGGATGTGATTGCTTGACAGGGGTTGGGAGACAGAGGGTGAGCCAAATCTTCATTCCTAAAGGTTCTAGACCTTTAGCAATTCTGCCTATACTGAGTTGTCATAATTTTCCATTAATTTTTCTTACAGAACATGATATTACTAAGAAACACTCCAAAAGATCTCCTGAATTCTAGTCTCCCAATCTCCATTGGGAATAGCAACCTATTTTCTCTTTAAGAGTCAGGATTTATCACCCCAGGCAGTATGGTAACTGCCTTTCCTTTTTTTTTTTTTTTTAAAGTATGTTGATTCACTGACATGAGGAGCACAAAATGGCCAGATAGCAGTATCAGCTTCCATTTTAATAGAGCCATTAGGTTAGTGTAAACCTTGTTGGTCCATTCTTCCATGGACCATTCCATGGACCATTAGGTTAGTGTAAACCTTGTTGGTCCATTCTTCCTTCATATCTGCAGAGCCCAAGGGTACAAGGACAGGAAGCACAATTTCAAGGTAATTTTGAGAAGCCATTTCCATTTCTGCCCCTTGATTCCCAGATTCTTGGATGCTGGCTATGTAAGAAATAACACCATACATTGGTTGTTGATTCAGATCATCTACTACAACATGGAGGACATCATCCTAGTCTGAAAGGTGTTATCACTATAACTGCTGTAATTGAGTCTCCCAAATGCCACTCCTTCATTCTCTCGGACCAGTTCCTTTAGGGTGGTTGGAAACAAGGTAAGATCAGTGAATTTCATGAGCATGGACCCATTGGTTGCTACATTTGCTGTAAGCCAAGTTCTCTGACCAGGAGTAATGTTATGTGGAACACTCTGACAGTGAGCAAAGCATCTTTTGAGTATATGTATTGTGGTTTTTGTAGAAGCATTGTGCACATGGAAGGGTAATGTGTCAATTCCAGTGAGAACAACGTGTTGCCCCTTCCATAATGAAAGTGTTCCAAATAACGGATCAGTCACAAGGAAGCTAGCTAGTTTCCCCAAGGTATTATGCCACATCAGGGCTCAGTGTTGGTCTCTGCATGGGCAAGTTTGTCTCTTGGCAGTGGCAGTCACCAGATCTGGTAAGCAGAAATTCATGTTGGATATGCCTGTGAATCTGCTCCATTCCTGCTGCCCTGGTCATTTTGTTCATTAGTCCATTGAGCAAGAACAGTGGTTGGGGAAGAAGACTGACCGATTCTAAAGAACAAGTCATCTTGTTCGCCTGATTGTTAAGATTCTTCTCTGCTGAGAGTGTTCTTTGGTAAGCATTCATTTAGCACACAAGTATCTTCACATTTGGTGCCCATCTGGAGAAGTCTGTGCACTTATCTCTTCCCCAGACCTTCCTGTCACCAGTCTTCTGAGCACGTTCTTTCCAAATTCCTGACCGTCCAACAAACTGTCAGTCACCATCCATCTGAAGATGTGTATTTCTGGCCTCTTTCCTTCCAGGCACAGTACACAGTCGGGTACGCGACTTGAGGTTCTACCCCATGGAAAGATTTCCCTTCCCCACTGCAGGCCACCTCTGAGTGAAGCTGGGTCACTTCTTGTACTTGACCTCCTGAGGCCTGCTAAGACTTGAGTTTGACCCATAGAATGCCGAATAATTGTTGCTTGTGAGACTTCCAAGATAAGGCCTTAAGAGAAGGAGAAGCCTTGGACCTTCCGCTTTCTTTCTGGTTTGGGGCCTTTGAAACCTCTATGCTATGCAGAAGTTCATACTGAAAGTCTATGTGGGGAGAGGCCCAGGCACCCTAGCCATTCCAGCAATCCCACCTGAAGACCAGATATGAAGACTATAGCATATTGCATCATCCAGCTCCAGCTGATGTGGCAGCTGACGACGGCCACACATGTGAGTCCAAACATGACCACCAGGACTCTCCTGTCCACCCACAGAAAGAGAAAAGGAATGGATGGTTGTTGCTCTAAGCCACTAAGTGTTGGAGTGGCTTATTATGTATTAGTAGACAACTGCCTCAATAATCTAGATATATGCAAGATACTGTCCCAATTTTGACCATAATAAATCGTTGATACTTTCACCTGGAAAAAATTCATTCTTTCGGAAAGAATTCTATTTGTGTTGATGTGGGCTGCCCCCTCTTCCACAGGCAATTGCAAAGGGGTTTCAAGTTGTTATATTGCTACTTGGGATTATTTCAGTTTGAATTTATTTTATTTTATGTAACATAAGCAAACTGGGAGAGGAAGTTTACATGAATGATTAAAGGTTTTTTGGGAGATAGGTGTGAAGGGAAGGTACCAAAGAAATAGTTTTCTAAGATAGAATTGCATAGAGTTCTTTGGCTAAATTTGTACGAACATGAAAAGTGAATAAAACTCATAAATCAGTGGAATTATTACAGGAATGAAGAGGATTCTACAATGGTAACATCTAAGTGCTTTACACATATTAACTCATCCCTTCCTATAGCTGTATGAAATAACTGCTCATTTGTACTTTATAGTTGAAAAAGCTGAGTACAGAGAGGTTAAGCAACTTGTCCAGGATCACACAGCTAAGTACTAACAATTGAACCCAGCCAGTATTATACCATACTTGGTGTTCTTACCAATAGACTGTATTTTGTTTTTCTCCTCAATTACTCTGAAGAGTATACTGAGGTGATCCAATCAAAGTTTTGGATGTTATGTTTATAATTTGGTCATGATGCAGTTACAAATTACAAATAAGAATTACAAATGAGAATAATCCCTATGTTACCTGGCTTATAAAAAAAACCCCACAAAACTTACCTGGCAGGGGAGATACCATGATCACGAAGGTGGTTTTCCTATTGCACTCGGAATGTGCTGATCCCTGTGATTTCTCCAAATGTGGGAAACTCAACTACATAATTTGTGGTAGTGGGGGGCTACATTCGCACTCCCCCCCTAAAAAAAACCCAAAAAACTCAGAGTAGGCAATATTTCTAAAATCTACTGTACGTTTATAAAACCTATCTTAGGTTTTTACTCATTTTTGACTTAGAAGTAGAAAATTTAGTTTGACCATAAGATCTGATGTGTTTGAACCTCTAGGATGTCTCTGTTTTCCAACATTTTAAAAGTCTGATTGATTTAAGAAGACAAGGGGAACCACGTCAGATAGTGAAATATATTAACCCTAAGGAGGTAAGGACATTACTTATTGAGATAGCATCTTACTTTTTTCCTTTAAAAATGTGTGTAGCTACTGTATCAATTCAGTGTGCTCATATCTGTTTCTTCATAAAAATCTTTTTAAAGTATTGCATTGAAAGTTCATAAAACAAATATATAGCTTAATGAACCATTACAAGCAAATACCTCTGTAACCATCACCCACAATCAATGTTGTTACACTCCAGATCACCTGCTACAGGTACCTTACAAGTCACTGCCAACTCCTTTCTTCCAAAAGGCAAGCACTATTTTTTTTTTTTTTTGAGTTGGAGTCTCACTCTGTCACCCAGTCTGGAGGGCAGTGGCCGCTCCCGGCCACCGCAGCCTCGACCTGCTGGGCTCCGGCGATCCTTCCGCCTCAGCCTTCCCAGTAGCCGGAATTACAGGCATGCGCTATCACGCCCGGCTGATTTTTTTTTGATTTATTGTAGAGATGAGGTCTCGCTGCCCAAACCCGCGGGTTCAGGCAATCCACTCACCTCAGCCTCCCAAAGGCGCGGGATTACAGGCTGAGCCACCGAGCCCGGCTGCAAGCACTATTTTGAATTCTAACTTTATACTTTAGTTTTCTGGTTTTGAACTTTATGTAACTATAACCCCATAATGTGCTTTGGAAGTACTGATTTGTTCATTCAACATTACGTTTGTCTAGCTACATTGTATTCATTTTTAATTACTAGGCATTATTACCTTTTATGAATATATTGCTATTTATTCACTCTACATTTGATTGGCTACTGTTTCCAACATAGATCAATGATAATGCATGTTCTGGGAAAGTCTCCTGGGAGTGTTGTGGCATGTTTTTGCCTCCTAGCGCAGGTGCATGCTCTTTTTGGTTTATGTGCTGCCTAGAAATGGAATTGCTGAGTGGTAAGCCACAACTACAGGAGAGAACCCCAAGTTGCTCTTTGCAATCATTGTACTAAATCGCATTGGTACCAGAAATGCAGAAATTCCTAGTGCTCTGCATCCTCACTAGCACTGAATACTGTTAGTTTTTAATTTCATTTTATTGATACTAATGAGGTGGAATGTCTGTTGTGAAGTGTGCATTCAAGTCTCGTGTGGGTGTGTCCTATCTTTACTGGTTTTTAGCAGTTCTTTATATATTCTTCTTTTTTTACTACTTTTTTCTCATTTATTTTATTGAGGTAAAATACATACAACATTAAATTTACTGTCTTAACCATTTTTAGATGTACAGTTCAATGATATTAAATACATTTATTTATTAATACATTTATTTAATTGTATAATGTGTGCAACCATCATTACCATCCATCTCCACAAATCTTTTTGTCTTATAAAACCAAAACTCTATCCTCATTAAACAGCCATTCCCCATTCCCCCTTCTATCCAGCTCCTGAATTCTACTTTCTGTCTCTATGGAGTTGACTATTCTAATTACTTGATGTAAGTGTAATCATACAGTACTTGTTTTTTTGTGTGTGATTGGCTAATTTCACTTGGCAAATGTCCTCAAAAGTCATTTGTATTGTAATATTTTGCAGAATTTTCTTCCTTTTTAAGGATGAATAATATTCCATTGTATGGATATAACACATTTTACTTATTCATCCATTGATGGACACTGGGGTTGCTTCCATATTTTAGCTATTATGAATAATGCTGCTATGAATAGAATAGAATATTTCTTTGGAGACCCTGCTTTAAATTCCTTTGGACATATACCCAGAAGTGAAATTGCTGAATCATATGGTCATTTTATTTTTAACCTTTTGAGGAACAGGCATACTGTTTTTCATAGTGGCTGTACCATTTTGCATTCCTACCAGTAATGAACAAAGGTTATATATTCTTTATAGAAGCCCTTTGTCAATTATCTGTGTTATACATATCTTTTTTCCACTGTATGACTTGACTTGTCACTCTATTAATAGTCTTTCCTTTGTTTTTTTTTTAATTATGAAAAGCGTCAAATATATGTAGAAGTGGAAGGAATAAGATAATAAGCCACATAGCTTCAGTAGTTTATAATTCATAACCAATTTTGTTTCATCTGTACTTTCACCCACTTTCCACAGCCCCTAAATTATTTTTAAGTAGTGGTGTCTTTTGATGAGCAAAATTTATTTTATTTTATTTTTTATTTTAAAGCTGTGGGATACAGGCCAGGCGTGGTGGCTCAAGCCTGTAATCCCAGCACTTTGGGAGGTCAAGGTGAGAGAATTGCCTGAGGTTAGGGGTTATATTCCAGTCTAGGCAACTTTGCAAGACCTCGTCTCTACAATAAATCCAAAAATTAGCTGGGCATGCTAGTGTGTGCCTGTAGTTCCGGCCACTTGGAAGGCTGAGGTGGAAGGATTGCCTAAGCCCAGCAGGTTGATGCTGGTGTGGCCGTGAGTGGGCCACTGCACTACAGCCAGGGTGATGGAGTGAGACTGACTCAAAAAAAAAAAAAAAGATGTGGAATACAATTCGGGTTAGGTATATAAACGGTCGTTGTACAGGTAAAGTTTGGGCTTCAACTAAAAAGTTTCAGCTTCAGAGTTGTAGTTCAACTTGTCAATATTTTTCTGTATGGTTGATGTTTTTAAATAGCATTTTCCAACTCCAAGGCCATGCAAACATTCTTCTATATACAATGTATTGATTTGCCTTTCATACTTAGATCTATAGTCCACCTGTGATTGATCTTTATATATGACGTGAGGTACAGGTCAACTTTAATATTAATAAAGATATCCAATTCATTAAACCTTAAAAACTAAAATTATCAAACTAAAAAGTTTTTGTTCAGCGAAACAAACCATCAAGAGATTGGGCATCGTGGCTCATGCCTGTAATCCCAGCACTTTGGGAGCCCAAGGTGGGAGGATCGCTTGAGCCCAGGAGTTTGAGACCAGCATAGGCAACAGAGTATAACCATGTCTCTACAAAAAATAAATTTTTAAAAAATTGGGTGGGCATGGTGGTGTGTGCCTGCAGTCTCTGCTACTCAGGAGGCTGAGTTGGAATTGAGCCCAGGAGACTGAGGCTGCAGTGAGCCAGGAAGTCAAGGCTGTGATGAACCATGAACATGCTTCTGCACTCCAGCCTGGGTGATGGAGAGAGGCTCCAACTCAAAAAAAAAAAAAAAGAAAAGAAAAGAAAGAAAAGAAAAGAAAAAGAAATAAGCCAGGCTCGGTGGCTCAGCCTGTAATCCCGTGCCTTTGGGAGGCTGAGGTGAGTGGATTGCCTGAGCCCGTGGGTTCAAGACCCGCCTGGGCAACTTGGCGAGACCTCATCTCTACAATAAATCAAAAATTAGCTGGGCGTGGTAGCACGCGCCTGTAGTTCCAGCTACTCGGAAGGCTGAGGTGGAAGGATTGCCAGAGCCCAGCAGGTCGAGGCTGCGGTGGCTGGGAGCGGCCACTGCACTCCAGTCTGGGCGACAGAGTGAGACTCCAACTCAAAAAAAAGAAAAAGAAAAAGAAATAAACCATCAAAGAAAGTAAAGAGACAACCAATGGAATGGGGAAAAATATTTGCAAGCCATCCATCTGACAAAAGCCTAACAACCAGAATCTACAAGGAACTCAAGTGAATCAACAGGCAAAAAACAAACAACCCCTTGTAGATGCAAGATGTTAGGCCTTTGTCAGACATGGAGTTGGCAAATACTTTTTCCCAGTCTGTGGGCTGTCTCCCTGCTCTCTTGATGGTTTCTTTGGCTTTGCAGAAGCTTGTCAGTTTAATGAGGTCCCACTCGTCTATCTTATCTCTTATGGCCTCTGGGTTTCGGGTTTTGTTCAGGAATTGAATGCCAGTTCCAATTTCCATAAGGGTGTGTCCTGCATTTTCCAAGGTTTTTATGGTTTAAGGTTTCACATTTAGGTCTCTGATCCATTTGGAGTTAATTTTTGTGAATGGGGATAGATAGCGGTCTTGTTTGAATCTTCTGCATGTGGTCAGCCAGTTTTCCCAGCACCATTTGCTGAATAGGTTCTCCTGTCCCCAATGGTAGGTGGTGGAGGTTTTGTTGAAGATGAGTTGGTTGAGAAATTGAGGTTTTGCTTCTGGAATCTCAATTCTATTCCATTGGTCTGTATTCCTGTTCCTGTACCAATACCAAGCTGTTTTGATTATTGCAGCTTTATAGTAAAGTTTGAAGTTTGGTAATGTGATACCTCCTGCTTTGCTTTTTTTTTTTTTGCTGAGGCTTGTTCTGGCTATTCTTGGTCGTTTGTGTTTCCATATGAATTCCTGTGTTGTTTTTCTAGGTCGAGAAGAATGTTGCTGGTAATTTGATGGGTATTGCATTGAATCTGTAGATTGGCTTAGGTAAGATGGACATCTTCACAATGTTGATTCTTCCAATCCATGAGCATGGGATATTTTTCCACTTCTTTGTGTCATCTTTGATTTCTTTGAGCAGTGTTTTGTAGTTTTCATTGTAAAGGTCTTTCACGTTTCTGGTTAGAAAGATGCCAAGGTATTTCATTTTTTTGTGTGGCTATTGTGAATGGAATTGTGCTTTTTATTTGGGTTTCTGTTTGTTTATTATTGGTGTAGAGAAATGCAGTTGTCTTTTGCACATTTATTTTATACCCTAGGACTTTATGTGCCGAAAAGAAAAAAACAAACAACCCCATTATAAAGTAGGCAAAAGATATGAACAAACACTTCTAAAAGAAGACATCCAAGTGGCCAACAGACGCATGAAGAAATGTTCAACCTCACTAATCATCAAGGAGATGCAAATTAAAACCACACTGAGATACCACCTAACTCCAGTCAGGCAATTATCAATAACAAAAAATAACAGATGCTGGAGAGGATGTCGTGAAAAGGGAACACTACTACAGTGTTGGTGGGAGTGTAAACTAGTGCAACCTCTGTGGAAAGCAGTGCGGCGATTCCTAAAAGATCTAAACATCGACCTCCCATATGACCCCGCAATCCCCCTACTGGGAATATACCCTGAAGAACTCAAATCACTCTGTGAAAAAGATACCTGCACACGTATGTTTATCACAGCATTGTTCACAATAGCAAGAACCTGAACCAACCACACTGTCCATCAAAAGAGGAGTGGATTAAAAAAATGTAGTACATATATACAATGGAATACTACGCAGTCATAAGAAAGAACAAAATCATGAATTTCGTAGCAACCTGGATGAAACTAGAGTCTATCGTACTGAGTGATCTCTCACAGAAACAAAAATCTGAGTATCACATGTTCTCACTCATATAGTGGACCTTGAACATCTATCATAATACTATAAGAAAAGGATTGACAGTGGCGGGAAACTATGGGGGGGAGGGGAAGGGAGGTGGGATTAACGGTAGTCAATGTCTGTCTGGGGACGGGGAGACACCCCTTATCAACAAGGGTGCCTGAACAATGCATATTTGTATACCTAACCCTAACTGTACCCCAAAATTTTAAAATAAAAAAGATGTTAAAACAAACCCATTAAAAAGTGGGCAAAGGACATGAATAGACAACTCTCAAAGGAAGACATTCAAACAGGCAACAAACATACAAAAAATACTCAGCCTCACTAATCATCGAGAAATGCAAATCAAAGCTACTATTAGATACCACCTAACACCGTTCAGGTGGCTGTCATTAAAAAGTCAAAAAACAAGCCGAGTTCAGTGGCTCAGCCTGTAATCCCGCGCCTTTGGGAGGCTGAGGTGAGTGGATTGCCTGAGCCCGCGGGTTCGAGACCCACCTGGGCAGCGAGAACTCATCTCTACAATAAAAATCAAAAAATCAGCCGGGCGTGTTAGCACATGCCTGTAATTCCGGCTACTCGGAAGGCTGAGGCGGAAGGATCGCTGGAGCCCAGCAGGCGAGGCTGCGTTGGCCAGGAGCGGCCACTGCACTCCAGTCTGGGCGACAGAGTGAGACTCCAACTCAAAAAAAAAAAAAAAGAAGTCAAAAAACAACATGTTGCTATGGCTGCGGAAAAAAGAAAGCATGTCTACACTATTGGTGAGAATGCAAGCTAGTTTAATGTTTTGTGGAAAGCAGTATGGCGTTTTCTTAATGAACTAAAAATTAAGCCACCACACAGTCCAGCATTCCCACTTCTGAGAACATACCCAGAGGAACATAAATTGCTCTACCAAAAAGACAACTGCACACATATGTTCATTACGGCACTATTTATACTAGCAAAAACATGGAACCAACCCAGATACCCATCACCAAACCAAACTCACTCGGATTTCTTTCTATGTTATCATTTAAGAGGTCTTTAGTTTTGCATTTGACATTTGGGCTAATGATCCATTTTCAGTTAGTGTTTTGTGAAAGATGTAAGTTTTGTGTCTCGATTTCTTTTTTTCCCCTTGCAAGTTGATGTCCATAATATCCAAATGGTGGTCCAACCCCTTTTGTTGAAGACTATTCTTTCTCCATTAAATTGTATTTGTTCCTTTTCAAACATCAGTTCACTGTATTTATGTGGGTTTGTTTGTGAACTCTCTCTTCTGGTCCATCGCTCTATTTGTCTATTTTTCCACCAATACTACACTGTCTTGATTACTGTAGCTTAGCAGTAAATCTTGAAGTTGGGTAGTGCCATTCTTCTAACTTTGCTGTTCTCCTTCAATATTGTGGTGACTCTTCTGGATCTTTTGTCTTTTCATGTAAAATTTTAGAGTCAGTTTGTCCTTATACACAAAATTAGTTGCTGAGATTTTTATTGGGATTGTATTGACTATATAGACCAAGTTGGAAAGAGCAGACATCTTGACAATATTGAGTCTTCCTAGCTGGATACTTGCAGTATCTCTCAATTCATTTAGAGCTTTGATTTCTTCCAACACAGTTTTGTTTTCTGAAGTTTTTATCATGAATGGATATTAGATTTTGTCTGACACTTTTTCTGCATCTATTAATATGATCTTGTGCTTTTTCTTCTTTAGTCTGTTCATGTAATATAATAATGGCCTTGCATACCTTGAATAAATTCTACTTGGTCATAGTGTATTGTTTTTATACAGTGTTGAATTTGACTTGCTACTTTTTTGAAGATTTTCACATCCATATTCATAAGAAATATTGGTCTTAGTTTTCCTTTCTTATAATGTCTCTGTCTGGTTTTGGTATTAGGGCAAGGCTGGCCTCATAGAATGTATTAGGAAGTATTACTTTTGATTTTATTTTCTAGAAGAGATTTTAGTTAATTAGTATAATTTATTCCTTAAATGTTTGAGAGAACATCTGGGCCTTGTGCTTTCTGTTTTGAAGGGCTTAATTATTGATTCAGTTTTAAAAATAGAAACAGGCCTTTTCAAATAGTCTGTTTCTCCTTGTGTGATATTTGATAGATTGTGTCTTTCAAGGAGTTGTTCCATTTTATCTAGGTTACCGAATTTGTGAGCATGGAACTATTTGACTCCATACAATTTATTATCCTTTTAGTGTTCATGGAATTACATAGTGATGGCCTCTAGCCTCTATTTCATTTCTGATATCAATAATTTGTGTCGTCTGTCATTTTTCTTAGTTACTCTGATCATAAGCTTATACATTTTATTGATCTTTTCAAGCATTTAATTTCTTTGCTTTTCTTTATTAATTTCTTGTTTTCCATTTCATTGATTTCTGCTTTAATTTTTATTATTTATTTTCTTGTTTGCTTTGAATTTAATTTGCTAGAATTTTCTAGTTTCTCTCCTCCTTCCTTCCCTTCCTCCCTCCCTCTTGCTTCCATCCCCTCCCTCCCTCCTTCCCTCTCTCCCTCTTTCCCTCCCTCTCTCCCTGTCTGTCTCTTTCTTTCTTTCATCCAACTCACTCTGTCAACAGAGTGGAGTGCAGTGGCACAATCTCAGCTCACCACAAACTTGACCTCCTGGGCACAAACAATAGTGCCACCTCAGCCTCTTGAGCAGCTAGGACTACAGTGCACCACCACACCCAACTAATTTTTTATTTTTGTAGAGACAGGGTCTCACTATATTGCCCAGGCTGATCCTAGCTTCAAGCAAGACTCCCACCTCAGCCTCCCAAAGTGCTGGAATTACAGGCATGAGCCACCTCTCCTGGCATTATTTTTCAAGTTTCTTAAGGCAGAACTTTAGATTTGTTCAAATCTTTCTTGTTTTCTTATATAGCATTTAGTGCTATAAATTGTCCTCTAAGTACTGTTTTTGCTGTATCTCTCAAATTTTGATAAGTTGCATTTTCATTTACTTCATAGTATTTTTTAACTTCTCTTAAGACTCCTTATTTGACCTATTAGTTAGAAGTGTGTTTGCTTTTTGTTTTCTATTTTTCCCACTGTTCTTTATTCCAACAATAATAGAATTGATAAATAAATGTGACATATTATATGATGGAATACTAAATAGCAGTAAAAAAGAACTAACCACTATCTGCACCTACATATATGAAGCTTACAGATTCATCACAGATTCATATCAAGCAGAACAAGCCAAGTCCAAAAGAGTATGTGTGTAAAAATTCATAGAGCTGCACGCTTAAAATTTGTCTACTTTAGTGAAAAAACATGTAAGTATATATAGTGTCATGTTCAGATATGAAAAAGCAGGTTTTACAACAGAATCTCACACCTCATTTTTTTTACACAAAACTGAAACTTGAGAATATACTTTCAGCCGGACTCGGTGGCTCAGCCTGCAATCCTGCACCTTTGGGAGGCTAAGGTG